CTGTGATACAATTGCGTGTAAAGATGAGGTCGAGCTGGTTACCTGATTATGGGTACCTGTGGTGGGCTGAAAGAGGCTAGGAGAGAGTGGAGGTAAGTAGCATGTGGATTCTAAAGGTGGATGTTGAAGTCACCAAAAGTACTAGAAAGCTGCCATCATCAGGGAATGAGGACAGCATGTCCATTTCTTCTGGAAAGTTGCCTAGCTTACCTGGAGGGCGATAAATAACTACTATGTGGATTTTTACAGGGAGTGTGACTGTAACAGCATGAAATTCAAAGGAAGTATTGTTAAAGTTATAAGAGAATGTAAGGTATTTCCAGCTTTTGGAAATGAGGAGATTAGTACCCCCACCTCACCCATCCTGACAGGGGGTGTGGGAGAACGCTGTGCCTTCATGTTTAATCCAGGTCTCAGTCAAGCCCAAGAGACGTAGAGCTGACTGAGTAGCAAAGGCTGGAATAAAGTCAGCTTTGTTTACAGCGGACTGACAATTCCAGAGGCCCATAGGAAAAGAAAGGGGTGCAATAGAAGAAGTGTGGATAGGATGTAGGTTAGCATGATTGCGCCGTCTCCTGCTTGTTGTGTAAGAGTGTTTCCGCTGAGAGACAACAGGAATATAATGGAAGCACATGTTTAAAATAGTGGAGAGAGGAAAGGAAGGGAAGTAGAATAAGGGAAAGATACTACAGTGCCTTGTTGGTGTTGTTGCTCGTTGAGTCGCACAGGTAGAGACGCAGGTCTCAGCAAAGCCTATAGCATGCAAATGGCTTGAAATCGCAACTATTGCGGTACAGTTTTCCACTTAAGCACAAATTAACAAGTAGCAAAAAGTATTTTTGTAGATTCTAATTACAGTTTACAGCAAACAACATGCACAATCAGCAATTAAAAAAATTCAACATTTTTAAATAAAATAAGCAGTAAATGAATTAATCCTCCCTACTAGCAGATATTTATTTTAAACAACAGCAACAGAAAACTGGTATTAAGCAAAACACTTACGTACTCTTGCCGTGTCCACCGACAAATCACTTTTCTCCTGATGTTGGACTTGCTCGTTAATATGAACAACCGTCCGCAGATGGATGTTCACTCTGTTTAACTAATTCTGTCGGTCTTCTTCAGCCTTCTACTCAGCTGCCCCTCCGCAGTCCCCAGGAATCACTGGCACAACCACAGTGCCCTACCTAGCTACATCCACTGTAGACTTTAGAGTCATTGCCACAGCCTCAGCCTTTTGACCCATTGGCTCTACCGTGGCATTTCATCGCTCCACTGGGGTCCCTCGTCTGCTTTGGTCCACCACAGACTTGCAGGTCTGTGGCTATGCCTCAGCTGCACACTGTGTAGGAACTGAGCCACGCAGACACCAATGGTTGAATCAACCGATGACTTGATCAGAATCAGTTGATAAGAATTGCTTTGATCAGGAGAGCCAAAATCCAAAGCAACATTTTACGACCTCAACCTAGGTCATGTGACACCATCTGGACTGAGAATGACAAACTTCCCCCACAGGTTAATTAACCTCAAACAAAGAAACCCTTTCAACTCAAGGAATAACCGGTCAAATATATGTTGTTTCAAACCAAGAACAAATGGTCAAAAGCACAGAAATGCATGAGCTAAACACCTGGTGAGTCTTCCCCACTCAAGACAAAGAGCTTGCCTTAAAGGACCATATCCTCTCTAAACCCAGAAACTCATAATATTAAAATGCATCAGATCATCCTCAAAACGATGATAAAGGGCTTATAATTAAATGTCATTTCATAACTCAATATCATGTCTGAAACCCATATGTGTGAACATTAGGCTTTGATCATGCATTACGCATGAAATTATTACTAACTATTGAATGGTTTATCGCAAGTCTATCTTGTTTGGTATGAGTGAGTGAATCTCTTTCTCTTCCTTCCATTTGTTTAATCATGATGTTAATCAAACCTGTGTAAAATGCATCACATCCACATGATTAAATTCATGTTTAAATTGTACCCAGTTAAGAGCAGGGAAATTGGAGCCCATGTGACTAAAAGATAACATGCTGATTTACAGTAATGGGAGGAGAAACAGTCACCCCCTGAACCGAAGACAATACCTGATTGTTCAGAGCTCCACTTAGGGCCAGAACAATCAGCTGGGTTTAAAACCCAATACTCAGAAGAGAAGATACAGACAGAGAACCAGATCCAGACCGAGACTCAGTCTCGGGCTCAGACTCTCCCAGCTTAGGATGGGTTAAGACCGGACAACATCCCATATCCCATTTCTTTTCTTTAGTTTCTTCCTTTTCTTTCAGTCAAGAGTCCCGTTTAAGTTAATCTTCGCCACAAAGCCGCACAACTACATACAACTCCATGTCCATACAACTACAGCCTCAAACTTTAACTGACCACGAGACTCCGCTCCACTGGCCAACACCACAACATGATCGGCCTCCCAAGATGTCACTCCAGTGACGAACAGACCACCAGTGAACCCACGTGGGAACCCCGTCAATAACAGACACCACAGAAGGAATTCCCATTCAAAGAGACGCAACAAATGCAAGTAATGCCTCTCATTCTGAACTGGTGCATAGCTATGAAATTTAATAACCCTGCCTAAGAAACGATTGAAGGCTTGAATTAATGATTGATGGTTTACTCAGTTAGGTCTTACAAAACTTGGGATTACATCATTTCACTCTCTTAAACTCTTTCTTCCTCACTTTCTTCCTTTCTGCAACTCATGTGAATGTGTGTGTGTGCATGTGTTTGTGTTAGGTGCTAGCTTTATGCTTTTGATTAGTCATTAAAATCTAATTTGTATTTAAAGAAAAGTGTCTTGTGTTATGTTTATCAATTGTTGGATATTGGTATCCATTGCAGAGCCGACAGTTACGGACCGTTCAAATGAGCGCTGGATGATTCATTTGCTTGGTCGTAAAGAGTCGATTCTTTCAAATTCCCCTTTAAATTAATTAATAATTCCCTTTGAGCTAATTTGATTTCCATTACTCTGGCTATGTCTAGGTCTTCCGAGCCCCCATCTCCACCTCAGTCCCAATCCTTTGGTTCCGTCTGAAGAATCCCCCTTGCTCAATTCTTTGTCCGTTTTCAGTGTATAGGTTGGTTTACTTATCTCCTGCTTTGGTCCTGTGGTTTTTCTATGCTCCAGAGTGTTTTTGTTTTAGTCCATTATGACTGATGCCATTGGATCCTCACCACAGCTCTCTCCTTTTGCCTGTACCAAGCTGTGACCATGCAAGCCTTTTAAAGCTAGTTAAACAAGTTCAAGTTCAATTTTGTTAATCACATACACAATCATACACCGTACGACATGTAGTGAAATGCTTGGTACGACTCTCCACACAGAATGCAATAGACTATATATTAAAATAGAAATATTATAAAAG